GTTAGAAACACGAAGAAGTTGGCAAGAAACCTCAGGAATCTGATCAGGTGGACGTTTTCCTCCACCTGGGCTGCTCTTTCTTCTATAATCGCTTCCTGCAGCAAGACGAAACAAAACACAAAAATCTCAGCTGTGAAAAATATCGGTAACTCAGCAAAATGAGAAATAAAAATGTCAACAAAATTTGAAGTTTCACAAGTCAGGTGACTAATGATGGAAAAGGAGAGCAAGTGACTTGTGAGGTAGACACAGAAGGATCAGGAGTTTGAGGCCAGTGTCTGCTAAAATAGCAAGTTGAGGCTGGCCCTGGCTACATTGTGGCCCTGTCTCAAACCTCCACAACAAAAGTGATAAAGGAAACAAGTGAGAAAAAGAGTAACTCCCTGAAAACAAAACACAACAGCAAGAGAATCTTTATAAAGATAGGCTCTTCCAGGGATTTTATTGCTTTGTTTAGTTTTGTGAGACAGTCTCATATAGTCTAGGCTGGCTGAATTCACTGTGTAGCTGAGGCCTTGAACTCCTGATCTTCCTGACTACTTTCCAAGTACTATGATGCACAACCAGGTCAACCATGATTTTTAAAGCTACGTTGTAATGCTTTCAAATCATTTTAAATATTGAACTCACTTATTTCTATGGCTAATCAGTATTGTTCCATTAATTAAACTGATTATGATAACTAAATGGACTCCTATTTCAACCAAAGAGCATTATTTTAGTACCAAATTTAGAGAATAAAAGTTCCCAGGAGATAATAATGCTGTCATGGGTCTTGTGGTATTTCTGTCATTAAACAGCCCTGTGTCCACATCCTCATAGGCAGCAATCATGAGTGGCTTGTTCTTGTAACTGTCAGATACTACACTAACTACCTGGAATGCCTCCAGGATTGCTATTAGAATACAAAGAACAGGCTTTTGAAGTTTGTGTCTTCACCTTGAAGTTCATTGTGATAGAATTAAATTTGTTGTCGGCTGTTTCGGGATTACCAATCAGGTAGTCCCAGCTGCAGAACACCTTCCAGCTGAAATTGAACGTGTTGTCATCACCACCTCCATCATCACCAATATTTTTGGTCATCCTATAAAAGTGGGAGTTTAATCCAGCAGCCAAAATAGAGAAAGGAAGAGGAGGGGAAAATAGCATAATCACAGGTAAGCTGGAGAAACATCTAGAAGACGTTTTCAACAAATTTATTCTTAGAGACAGTAGGACTATATATTTAAATTCTGTTTAATTCTTAATTGTTAATTTTACCTTGACTATGGTATCGAAAACTACTACACACTGATGATGTTAATACTTAATGATGTAGGCAGGAAGCCAACAGAATAAATCTATTGCACAGAGGATTTGGGATCATCTCAAGAATGATAGAAGCCATGTGCACTGTATTCTCAAAAAGAAACAGACAAATATTGAATGGCAAAAAAGGCTTATACAATACAAAATAGTCTAGAGATAAAAGCCACTGGTCATTCCTCTGTTCACAGTCTGTTTCCGTGGTAGAGTGTCATAAAAATGAAAATTTTATTGTGTTCTCCATTAAGTCTCCAGGTACTAGATATCCCCCTGGATTGCCTATAGTGGATTTCTGTTCTAGTTTGTTTCTCTTGCTGTGCTGAACATCACAACCAAAACAACTTGGGGAAAAAGGGTTTATTTCAGTTTATACTGCGAGGGCAGAAGTTCAAGCAGAAACCTGGAAGCAGGAGCAGAAACATAGGCCTCGGAGGACTGCGGCTCACTGGCTTGCTCCTCTGGCCTATGATCAGCCTGCCTTCTTATACAACCCAGGACAATCTGCCCAGGGGCAGCACCCCCCATAGTGAGCTAGGCTTTCCAACTTCACTCAACAATTAAGTAAATGCCTCACAGACATGCCCACAGGCCAATCTGATAGAGGAAACTCTCTAACTGAGGTTCCCTATTCCTAGGTCTGTCAAGTGGACATCTAAAGCCAACCACAACAATATTCCATAAATTATTGTAAATGAATGAATAAAAACTCTTGAATTGTTATGAAAATAAATGTAGCACTAGGAAGGGCTTTACCAAATAAACACATATATTGTAAATAGTGTTTTTATGGTGCAATACGTATAATGCATGCTTCCTGTGCTATTGCTATTTAGTTCTTACTTGACATTATGAAAGGCTTCTGTCAGTAATCTTCAATTTGTAAATATCTGCCATTCATTCACTACTACTGTTGCTAATCCATGTTTGTAAGAAGAGAATCTTGCATGTTGAATTTTATAATTATAGATACACCTAAGGAAGCAGTAAAATGAAATGGAACACGGAGACTTTAAGTCTTTTTTTCATTGCTGCCTTTCTGTTTCAAGAATTTTGAAAGAAGGCCACCATAGTTTGAGAAGGAGATGACCAACCTATGTTGGATTTGCCAGGAAATCATGTTCCTGTAGGCTATTGTAACCTGGAAATTCCTCCAAAAAGCTGGAGTTGATCCAGGGTGAGCCTGGGTGACACGGAGCGCATTATGAAAAGGGGGTGGAGCCACAGCCATACTGAGCGGTGAATGGCAGGTGAGAGGGTGAGCCAGTCTGCATGGACCCTGCGTGCAGACCCCGAGGGGCGAGACAGTGCACAGACAGCTGGTGAACTTTGGGCAGGGCATGGCCCCCAAAAGTGACCTTGGTGGCTTGGATTTCAAAGCTTAGTCAAAATGTAGAAGATGGACTATGGGAGCTTAAGCTTTCTTTGTAAGTCACCCTTTCCTGGACATCATATAAACCACATTAAAAACCAAATAGAAGGTATTCTGTCAGAAAGTTACTCGACAAACAGCAAAGCCAGACAGGCAACACCTTCAGTCGAGATGTTGGCCAGGATAGATAAAGGCCCTTCCATACAGTAACCCAACATACTACTGGAAAAATGAACAGCAGACCCCAATTCTATCCAAAGGAATACTGACAATGGATTGCCGTAGATGAGGAACAGCTGACCCTCCTGGAACACGGACCTCTGGCTGACTAGATTTACCAGAAGGGCAGACAGGGGGGAATGGATGAGGGTGCTGACAACACAGTGGACAGTGGCAGGGATAGCAGGATATGGAGCCTCTAGTGGGAGAGGAAGCCTGTCTGTCTGACGAGTTTTGTATTCATGCTCAGATGCCGAGGAACTCAGAAGGTTGGCGACTGTGACCAGTGATAGTCATGCATATAGAGATTAGAAATGCATGTGAAAACGTCTCAATGTCAAATGCCTTGGAATGAATTCTTCTGTATGAAAAAAAAATAAAAAAATAATGATTAAAAAACAATAATTAGTAGATGTGAAAAACATTACCATTGAAATCTACCTGATGACTTTATATCCATGCTCAGATGCC